CCCCCCCCCCTGCCCGTGAGGAGGGCAGGCGGGAAAGCGCCCGTGGCCGCGAGGAGAGCCATGGGAACCGGCGGGAATAGCTAAAAATACCCTTTTCTCGGGAGCCGGCCGTCTGAGGTCCCTCGGGCTGGGGGGGGCACCGGCAGCTCGAGGAGAACCACCAAAACCGTGATTCAAAGTAATAAATCTGTGTGGGTTGTAGGGCGGAGGGGAGGTGCGCTGGGAACCGGGGTGGATGTGGAGCTCGGGTCGGGCTGTGGGCTCGGGGCCGGCCCGGAGCGGCACCGGCCGCCGCTCAGGTGTCCCGGGGAGGTGGGGGTGGCCCTGGTGGGACAGCCCAGCAGAGATGGGATGTTGTTCTTCTTAGCCCTTGCCTTTCAGTTCCCTTGTTTCTTGGTGCCTGTGCATTCGGCTGCTGAGTTGTAGGAGGAAATCTTGGCCTTCATGGTCCTGCAGGAGAAAGAGCTCCTGGGGATGCCCATTCTCTGGGGAGCAGGTCCAAGGCATCCAAGTGCCTTTTGGGTTCCCTGCCGTGACACTGTGTTGCTTTTGGCCTCGTGAGTCTGAAAGGAAGCAACGATACTTATTTTTTCCTGCTGCAGCGCGGCGGATCCCGCACCCCTGTGGGTCAGATGTCGTGAACCCTTTCTGGGCTGAGCTGGTTTATCAGGTGAGTAGGGCCGTGGCGTGGGACGGTGCCTGGTGCTGCCGTGGTGCTGCGAGTGGTGCTGGCTCTGCAGGGCTTCCTTTTGCTGCACCCCGGCTTGCCAGGGTCGAGCAGAGCCTGCCTGTCCTGCCAGGATGTGGCTTTTCTCTTGCTGTAAAGCTCAGCACGCAACAGCCTCCATGAACGGCTGCTTTGTTTTTGTTTGTTGTGGTTTTTTTTCTGACAAAGCATGTTTATAACACGGAGGTAAAGGTGAATTGTTTACTTCAACCTTTGCTTTCAAACCTGACTCCTGCAAAAGTCCCCGGGGAGTGTCACAACCATTCCCTGTGACCAGATCTGTGTTTCAAGGGAGACTAAAACACAAACAAGTCTCCTGCTCTGGGCTGGGTTGTGGCTCCCCAGAGTGGTTGCATTTGGTGGGGGAAAATGGGCAGGAGGCGTTCACCAGGCTGTGTCCTGCAGTCAGCAGCCAGAGAAAGAGCAGAAAACAAAACAGGAAGCCTTGGTTTGGGTTATAAAAACTCTTCTAGGTTATAAAAAGCCATCTAAAAGAAACAGCGGTAATTCATTGCATGTGGGGGTGTTGGGGGTGCTTTTTCTAGCCAAGTCTCCAGCTTTCTCAACCTCACTGCTCCAATCCAGATGCAGGGCTCAGCTCTTAGCCAGCATTGTCCTCATTGAGGTTATTAAAGGCTTCAGCTTCCAGGCTTTTTTGACAGAGTGGCTGCCCTGGTCACAGTGTTGGATCTGGTATCTGTAAATGGTATATTATGTGATAATGGTTCCCTGATCCGTAGCCCGGTGCTGTGGTTGATGCAGGTCTTGGGGTGGTTTTCAATCGCTTCTGGATGCAAGGCTGGATGTGAGTAGTGTGGCTGGTCCTGGGGAGACATCCTGGGGACAGTGCTTCTCTGTCCCTCCTCCATAACCACCTAATTCCCAAGAGGTGCTGGTGCAGTCTAATTTGTACCTGGTGACCAATTGGAACAGGCTGATGCAATGTGGGACTAATACAGGAGGTTTCTGGGGGGTTTCCACTGTCTTTAAGTCTCACGCATAAGAGGAATTGGAAGTGGGTGTGTTTTGCTGCAAATAGGTAGCTTTGGAGCATTTGCTTGTCCAAGTGCTATCTTAATTCTCCTCCTGTTTTCTTCTCTCGTCTTGCTGCTAAGTGCATCAGGCACCATGGAGCACCAGGTGTCCATCATGTCTGACTGGGTCCTCCTCGGGCTGATCGCAGGGCTGGTGGTGCTGCTGCTGTTGACTGTCTTCGGTTTCGTTGTCTACTCGGGGCTCTTCACAGAGGTGGTGGTGAGTGCTGGCTCCCCACCTGTTGGCAACATCACGCTGGCCTACAAGTTCAGGGTGGGCCCATATGGTGAATCTGGGCAGCTCTTCACAGATGGCTGCAGCATCTCTTCCAAACTCTACTCCATCGGCGTCTACTACGACAACCCTCACACGGTAAGGTGTGCCCGGTGGGGCTGGTGTGCCCGGTGGGGCTGGTGAGCTCTCTTGGTCAGTGCTCAGGTTCCTGGTTCGCAATGCTCCCTAGCTGTGTTTCGTGCACTTGCAGTTCATCATCTGTAGATGAGCACTGGGGTGGATTCTCAGGGTCTCCCAGATCTGCAGAGGATGCTTTGTGGGGAAGGGACCTGAAAGCAGATGGTTTATTGGATAACCTTAACTGAAAGGCATTGGGTGAGCAAAGCTTGCTATCTTCTGATAGCTCC